TGGTGCGAGCACTAAAAAAGCACCGCATGCTGTTGGGGATATCACCCGAGCCTTTTTTTCTTTTCCGCAAACCGATGTTTCTCAAAACAGTGAGTTAGTGTCAAGAGCGGCTCGAGAACTTGCCTTTGGTTTACTGGAGCGCATCCCAGGCTTCACATCCGAAAAGGGCGAAACGCGGTGAATGGTCCAGGCAGCTTCAGTTGTTATCCGCTTCTCGGAGCCGAAGGTGCCGTTTCACTGGTTCTGGAGAGAGCCGCAATCAAAACCCGGGTAGAAGTCGGAAGGATAGTCACCGGGATAGTCCCAACCACAAAACTTGGTCTGGCTGCCCTGCATTTTTCCAGATATGGCTTGGGTAGACAGACATTTCGCTAGCATGGACTGTGGCAGGAATGGGTCTTTCATGCCTGAAGGGCGGATATGAATGATTGGCGCAATTTCTTCTTGGACCAAACACAAAGTGGATCTTACATTGAAGCTCCCTGCCAACTTCAGGAAAATCCAGAGATCCCTCTTGACCTGCCCTTTTCAGATTGCAAAGACTGGGCTAAGTGTAGGACTGTTGGTATGCCAGACTTGTCCCCCAAGGCAACAAGAGCACTTGGACATTGATTGGGGCATGTCCCATAATTGGTTGGGGCACTATGGACAAGACCCGCTGCGCACCAGTTGGTGGTGTGACGTGAATTTTGTCCATCAGCTGAGACGTCACCACATCTCCAATGTTGGGGAAACACCTCACGGGGCCCGAAACAGGATTTCACGATTGGGATCCGATCGTCCGCACGAACGGACCATGATATGGCTGTGGCTCAACAAACCGGTACCAAAATAAGTGGACACATGGACCAAAACCTGACCCCTCCTGTTTAATTTTGAGCCACACCATCATAATTCAACTGAGGTCATGACCGCAAGCTGCGCGGGCCCCGTAAGAGCCTTCATCGGGTTTGATCGGTTTGCGCGATGCTTGACTTTTGCACTGGTTCTAAAGAGACATGGCCATGACTGGAAACTGTGTCAAAGCAGATCGCGCTCCCTGAGTTCATGGACTTGGCACTTTTTTGGAAGACCATTTTAGAAGCAAGCAAGAAGTTTGGTGACTTTGCTCCAGTCAACTCGGGAAGTGAGAAATGAAAGTTGACAGGGACAGAAGCCAAATGTGGGCGTGGGGAGGGCCTCACATGCTAGAATTCACGGTCTCAAGGCTTCCTTGGTTTCCTGGCCACCGCAAAATGGTGGGTCAAATTTAGTCACGAGGATATGGACGGCAGGTTTCTGTCCATGTCTCCATTTATCAGGGTTCGACTTTGGATATATACATTTTGACCCACGGCCAAATTTAGTTCCTTTGACTTTTCGCTTGAACAAGCTAAAGGCGGGTTCCCAATTTTTGTGTCACAAGCTTGAGGCACCCTTTTAGCTTCTCGTCCTTTTCTGCACGTCCATCAAAGTGTCAGGGCACATGGCCGCGGAGCCTTGGGGGTGCACGCATATCATATAAGGGCGTCCTCCAATGTCCCTGCGAAAGAGGGAGATCAGGACATGTATGAAACACTAGGGGCTTTGCTGACCACTAGAAAAGGTCTAACAACCCTTCTATGACTGTTTCCAACGAGGTTCCAAGAACCAATCCACACAATCCATTGGGGTTGGTGCCTTGGTTTTGCAGGCGAAGAATATCAACCTTGCATGACCAGATCATCGTTCTCCCTCCGATTTTTGGCCATGTTGTTGTTACTTTTTCTAGGGCTGCAGGGTATACCGAACACGAAGGACAGGACATGTGCCTTTGTCTCTAAAAGGTTCCGTTTGATTTGCCAGCAAACCAACCCCAACCAGGGTAGCCTTAAATCGCACACCCATAAGGAAGTCAACATCATGGCCCATGTCGGACCCCCCTGCGCAAGGCGACATGAAATGACTCCGAAACGGAGGGGTCAAAATAGGGCCTACCGAGGTATAAGGTGATAGGAGGGCACGGTGAAAACGAAGGTGCCACGGACAAGTGATCACCCCAGATGCCCAGGGTAGACACAGCATTTTTCAGGGGCCCCAGCAAGTAACCTCTTCTGGTTGCCATTGGAGTTTGGTCGGATGATCCCAGGGTTAGATCACTCCCTATCCCCTAAAAGCCAACCAGAAGGGATTCCCTCCAAAAAAGGATCCCCCTTAAACCAACAACAGATCTCCATATCCGAGTTCCAAAGGCTTCACGAGGATAGGATGCCGGTCCCATTGAGGCATTGGGCACCATTGGAGTGCTATTGAGCGATCGGATGCCATTGGCCTCTGCGTGTGGTTACATAGGGACCCCCCGCCTTTTCTGGATGGTGTTCAAGGAAAGGTCACCGGCCTCGAAAAGAGGTTCCCAAATTGCAACAAGTGACTGGGACAGAGGCTCTTCTCACCCTGTGTGTGTGTGTGTGCATGTGCGTGCGTATATGTGTTTCGGTGTGGCATGGGCAAGATCGTGGCTGGAAGTACAGCTCTCCGTGAGGTCCATGGCAACAGATCTGCAAGGAGTTGTCCCTGGTTGGGGGTTGGAATCTGCCATTATGTGGGTGTGGGTCAAAATTGAACCACCGGGGGACCGCAGGCTGCAGTCCATGTTTCCATTTACCAGGGCAACCCATTTTGGGTACCTATTTTTGCCTCACAGCCATGTCTGTTGCAGTTTGCGTCCTGGGCCCAGCCAGCTGCATGTTTGGTGCTGCTAATGTCGCGGGATGTTCGCGTGGCTTGAACCTCTAGCCAGCGCATCCAGTGGGTCAGAGCTCGGCAACCAGCTCAACCAGCTCCGGGCAAAAAGCTGCATTTTTTGATGAGTCGGTTGGCTCAAATAGCAAATAAACTCATTTGAGTGCTGCAAAAACAAAAGAAATAAGCCAACATACTGAGGCAGCTCATCCAACCAAGAAGGGCAAGACAAGACAAGGCCAACGGACTCATCCACCAAATGAAACAACAAATTTGCCAGTGGGAGGCGGCGAGCTGGTAGCTGCTTTGGCAGGCTTCACCAATGCGGACTGAATCAGTAGCTCGCTCGAAAGGGCGCTGCAGCTCTTTTGACAAAGTGGCCAAACTGAGCTAAGGTTGGCCTGGTATGGGGTCTCCTCCAAAACTATGCGTCAGGGTAAGCTGAATATGCCAGAATCTGAAAAACATAAGTTTTCATATACCCCAGATGGGCCAAGTACTGACCCCAGGAAAATCAGCCCCCTTTGAAGTCTTCAGCAGTTATCATACTCCCTGCCAAAGTACCCACCATGCTTGCTGCCAAAAGCGAGAGAGAGGGAGAGGGGCGACCACTTTCGCACAGAGCCAGCATTCTTGTAGCAGTGTTTGTTTTTTTGTAGGAGAAGGTGAAACGGTCATGGCTGTCATAGTACGGTTGTGCGTCAAAGAGAAGATAGGGGAACCCAAAAATGGAACCTGGGCAAATGGAACCAAGGACTAAAACCTGAGCTTTTTTGTGGTGTTTGATTTCGAATCATGCTCATATAGTCATTCTAACAAGGGTGTTTCACAATGTGGTGTCTCAACATGGCGAGCCTCCTGTGGCTTGGCATCAAACGCGACACCAAAACGAAACCACCCCATTTTGGTTGTCCTGTTTTAGAACAGATGAATAAACTGGTTGATCAATAGGGGGTGTTCCGTTTGAGAGCGAAATCTTCACTTTGTGGGGAACCACCCCCTAAACAACTCCACCAGGTTGATTGACTTACTGCAACCCATCAACTGACAATTAGTTCGAGGGTGATACCCTTTTTCCACGAATCATGCGAGTGGACGTTTGGTTTTATGTAAGGGGACGGTAATCTTCTAAATCCTCCAGCACGCGACTCTTTGAGCACGGGAAATCCACGGGAGTCGTTGCAAGCGTCCTCTTTCTATGGATGTCTTGGGGTTCCATACTGGACGAAATCCTGCCTCACTTTAAAACCATGGGAAACCTGTCCTCAAAGGATGTCTTGGGGTTCCATACTGATGGACGAACTCCTGCCTCACTTTACCATGGGAAACCGCTGTTGGCATTTACAGGGTGCAGGATTTCGTCCGTCTGACTCCGCCAGCTCTGCCGCCCGCCAATCGGCCAGGAAGCTACGGCCACGTGCTGGGGGCTCTGGTGCGGGGCGGCTCCGACTTCTGCGTCTGACGCAGAAGTCCACGGAAAGCGGGTGTCAAAGAGGCGAAGAGAGCCGGCTGCTGGTAAACAATCTCCCAAATACCAGCTGATTGAAAGGAGTATCTTGTAAAGAAGGTAGTCTTCGGACGTATCCTTCCAGGAACCCTGAAAGTAACATTGCCAGACTTTTGCCTAACCGCTTTGCCCGGTTGCCCTTTTGGATTTCCTGCATGTTCCCATACTTTCCAAACAAATATAACTTTTTGCACCGCGTGGCATCCGCGTGGCCGAGAAAAAGTATTCTCTAAGCAACAGGGGACCCGGGCGCACCTACACTGGCAGGGCTCAAGAGCCGGATTCCCAAAAAGAGCAAAAGTGGACTCAATGGGGGAAGATACTTGTATCCCACACCTGAACCATCCAAGCTGTTTCAGGTTTGTCAAAGAGTTCTTTTGTGGCGTCCTGCTTCAAAGGCGGCGCCGTCCTTCTGGGTTCCCTTTTAAAACCACCCAACAAGGGGTCCACCATTTTGAGAACCCCCAACTACATTCACTGTGCTTGGCGCATGTGCATTTACATTTTAGGCTTCTTCCAGCAGCAGCAGCAGCAGCAGCAGCAGCAGCAGCAGCAGCAGCAGCAGCTCCAACGACAACTTTTTCCACGCCCCACCCCCGCAAGTGCTGTCCAAAAAGCCGTCGTTGGGGATGCCGGGTTTGGCTTCCGCTAAAATTTTCGCGGGGCGGCGCACATGAAGCTACGCCTTCGCTTCAGGTCCAGGCCCCTGAAAAAGCCCATCGCCGTTGGTAGGCCGCAACTCCGCCGTTGGCTTTCGGCCGTTTGTAGGTGGCCACAGCTCAGCCGCCCGCAGGATAATACGCTGAGGGTGGAGAGGCAACGGGACTCGCGGGACTCTTTGAGGCGCGGGCGTTCCGTTGGAAGTCGGGGGAAACACATCCCATGTTCAGAGGGTCCGCAAGAAGATTCGTATCCATCTGCCTATTTAATGCCAACTGGGGTGGGCTGGAGAAGGGGGGGGGGGGGGTAAAACGAGCTATGATGTGGGTCCTTTACTTCGACCCACATCTTATTTCAGGTTTTAAAATAGATTCTTTTCCGCTTCCTGTGGTATTGGCTGGCTGGATGGCCATGGGCGAATTTCCGGGACGTTTGGACACGGGGTATTCATATTCAGTTTGGAGGCAGCCTGCATATCTAGTTGTCAGTGTTTTTATCACTCCCCGGGTGATGTTCCAAGGGGACATATCGTTATGATTTCTAGTCGGGAACCACCCAAAAAGTGAGTGGTGGACATGATCCCCGCAGAAATGATGTCCAGAGGGTCCCAAATTCACAATCCCCGCCCCTCTGGACCCTGCCGGATGTTGCCATCCTTGCTGCTTTGCCAGGGGCGAGTCCATTTTGAGCACCAGCCGGTCAAATTTTGGGGGAGTTGCTTGGAGGAATGGAGGTTGAAATCATAGGCTAGGGATGCCTTTGGTTTTCAAAAACTGTGTGAAGGACGGTTAGTGTTCATTATTCATTATCTACCGGTACAACGGGATGATATGAGGAACTTCTGCCTGATTGGTATTCGGAAAGGTTTCCTGCGCCAACGAGCCTATCGGAAGTAGTGGCGTGGTGCTGTTGGGACTTGGCATCAATGGTTTGAGTTGTGATTCTTGCCCGCCTGGGACCAGAGGCCCACAACCAACGAACGAACTCAGGCTTGGTTCGACCACATTTGAACAGGGTTGCTCCAATCCTCTGAGCCACAACCAGCCGAGGGTGGAAGATTGGTGTTGCAGATCCGCTAGTTCTTCCTTTCCAAAGGCTAGACCATGTTTGCCCCTCGTGGTGTCTTTGCAGCACGCCTGGTGGTTGTAAGCGTCCCCCTCTGGAAAGGCCAAGTAGATCCAAGTTTGATTGCTGTTCCTTTCGGATTGTTGCACCCTTGCGGGGTCTAGGCGCAACCAAATCACAAAGCAGAGGCAGGGCATGCGTGAGCTAGTTTCCTCCAAACATGAGAGTGGTTTGGCCTCCAGGTTCTGCTTGGATTGAAGCTGACCCAAGGGGCCCAAGGAACGGCTGAGCCACACAAAACTTGCTGGTGCTCAGGGAATCCCTTGCTGTTGATTTCCTTGAAAGGGACCAAAGCCTGGGTAGACCCCTGGGTTCATTCCGTTTGCCTGTGGCTCAAAACCATGTACCAAAAGTCGGAGCTCTTCCGGAGCGGTTTTCGGTCGTCAGGTCGTCGCCCCGGAGCATCCGAACCTCCCGGACGCCCTCGCCCCGGTGCAGGTGTGGGGAAGCCATTGACTACCCAGTTGGACTTTTTCAGTGCCCTGCTTCCTGTTCTTTGCGGGAGGGTTCCCCTAAAATCGACCACTGGAGGACTGGAGGACCCAGTTCCGTTGGGTTTGTAGCAGGAGCCTGTAGCGTTCGCGGCAAATCTGGTAAGATCCCAAAATGTGGGGCTTACAGGGTAGAAAAGGTTTAAGGTTGCTTCAGGTGAACTAGGCCCCAGAAGGCGCTCTGGACGTGTTTCTTGGAGCGCTGTTTGAACTCCTTTTCTCGAAAAACGTTCGACGGCGAGCGCTTGGATCTCATGCAAAGGACCCCCAACAAAGCCATGATGCCCCCAGCCCTTCGGAAGGGATCGGAACTTGGGGCCCCTTATTTGGCATCCTCTTTGTCGGTTTTAGATATTTCAATCATTGGCATCGGGGTCCACGGAAGCATATGTTTGGCAACCTGCTTATTCTTATAGTGGGGCTTCATCTACCCCATCATCCACTGTCAGGGTGCACTCCATTCATGGTGAGGACCTGTGTTGGTGTTTGCTGCCTTGAAGGGCCCCCTTGAACAAGCTACATTTGAGCCATTCAACAAATCGCCTTTACTAAGGTTTGGAGGGTCCCCTTGTAAAGCAGGGTGGCTTTTGGATGTTTCCTTTAAGGATCTTTGCCTTAGCCCTTGAGGTTTGTAGAAAACCACGTGATTTTCCCTACCCAGTTGTGATGGATGTGGGGGTTCGGAAGACTCGCTCAGACATCGTCCTGCGAAGAATTGGAGTTGTGCATAGGCCAAACCGAGCGATCGATATCACCTTCGGGGTAAATCGCCCTGAATGTTTGTGTGATAGGAGACCCGTATTTGGGTGTGGTTCAAAATGACGGGTCCTTCCAAGTGCTTGGTTTCCTTTTGGTTCCCATCAAAACCATCCAAAAGTGGGAGGTTCCCCAATTTGAGACTCGTCTATTTGGGCTGGGATAATCACTCACGTTCTCTCAGAGGTGATTGTTTGTGCTGACATGTGGCGGTTCCGTGGGTTCCTTGGACTCCCTTGCCACTGAATTCCGTTCCTGTTACCGTGGCTGAAGCCCAGGGGTGGTTGATTTTCCTAGCATCTAGCGGTACTCCCCCATGGTTTCAGCCACACAGGAGCACAAACTAGTGGTCCCGCAAAGAGAGCAAAGGGTGAACATGATTCCTTTTAGAATAGCTTTTCCGGTATTTGGGTGATTTTGGGAGTTACCCTCCCATCCAATTGGAACCTGACTGGGGGTTGAATTCGACTCTTTTCCTTAGGGATCCTAGGTGCGATGGTGGTCCTTCACTAAACCCTAAACCCTAAACCATAAACCTTCTTCCAACACACACAGAAACTCCATGTTGGAGAATATCCATCCATGGGTTCCATGTTGAACTTCTAAGGAAGCCAGTTTTCCTTTTTTGTAGGGCAAGATCGCAGGAGCTTGCCAGCAACGCCTCGGATGAGCGTGGCGCAGAGGCACGCGGCACGATTCACTTGGGCTCAGAGGAGGTTGACCAGTTGACTTGTTTTTGCTGACGACCGCACTTGCGACCGGGGGAATTCTGGGGGTTGGGGGAAGGGAGGGGGGGTTGGTTTTCTTGTTGCCCGAGGCAAACACGACCCCCGAACAATTTGGGGTTGGGGCGGGGTTTGGCACATCAGTATGAGTCAGTGGCTGGAAGGCTTCAGGAAGAGCAGGAATGAGGGATATTCTTCCCAGAGAAGCTACAGCAAGCGCAAGAATCACCACCCGCGGCGATCCGCCGAACGCCGCAAGACATGATCCGCTTCCCCGAGCGAGGATCAATCGGTAAACCCCAATTCGCAACCATCGCTGGCACGACAGGACCAACCAAGCGACATCCTCGCGAGATTAGTCTATTGAGCTCATCTACAAGATTAGTCCAATTGCGATATCAACTTCATCGCCGACAAGAATATCGTTTCTGAAGCGATTAAGTCCAGGACACATCAGTCCTCGTTGTTCAAGCCAATGCATCTTCACAACTCATAAATGCAAAATCATTTGGGCACGATCAGGTGTCTGCTTTTGCTGCCGTTCTCCGTGCGCGAATTAGAACGCAGTCGCGCTCAGTTTGTGCAAATTATGTAGATACAAGGCGAAACCAACATGTGAGTCGCAAGAAAAATTGACTATTTTGACATGTGCGAAATTGATCTACATCATCTTTCTTACCGGCTACGAATATATAAAACATAGCTACGGCATCGTGCCTTGGTCATATTTGAAGGCTTGCTGCACTTCATGTCTCAAAGGCAAACCCGCACGCACGCCGAGCACTGGTCAGTGCTAATCACCTTGCAAAATCGAGAAAGCCCATAGTCATGTGATTCGCAGGTCATTCCAACACTTAGCTGGAATCCCTGCAAAAATGGCGGAGTACATACCCTGCAGCTTTAAGGCACGAGCAAACTTGCCATCCTGGTGGAAGAAATGGAAGAGGGTTGGGTTTCTTGGCGGCTCCCAGCCATTCCTAGAGGTGTTGGGCTGTTGGGTTGAGTGGGGTTTTACATGTAACCCACTAAAGTTACACTTTTAGCAGGGGATCTGAGGACAGCCGTTTAGACCATCGCATGTGGTTTCCCTAGAAGGGGGAGGTTGTAAAGATCATCTTTCAGGATGGCCGCTTCAAACGTGTGAGTGTCCGCTTAGAGCCCTGGGGTGATAATTAAAGGGACAATTGTGGGCCCCCCCATGGCTTCTGCCGTAGGTCACTGACATAACAACTCATTATAGCACTCGTGAGGTGAAGCCCCATTTTGCGCTTTCCTTTAAGGGAATGACCCCTACAAACCATCCCTTGTGCTTTCCCTGAAGGGCACCCTTAAGGGCTTCATTCCAACTCTCCCCTACTTATTGCACCAGCAAGTTTGAGCATCCACGCCATACATGGCCTGTTTCGGTGCACCAAGGCTCCTCTCACCGTCGCCAGGCTTTGGGAGCCCCGCCGCAAGGAGTTCCAAGAGCGCCTGGATGCGGCAGGCACGGCGGTTTTTTTTCTGCGAATAATCGGGGGAACGGCCATGGGAAAAGAGTCTCAGTGCAAAGCGAGTCGACCTGTTTCTCACCTTCTGGTTGTTCTTTCAGGTTCTCAGAAGGGGGTTTTCCGGAACGTTCACTTTGAGTAAAGGTCCCAAAAGGTTCACCGTAGGAGTGGGCAACCATGCCATTGCTTCAGTCTAAACGGGTCCTAACAAACGAGTTCGGGGATGGAATCACCCGCGAGAACTACGTGCAGCTTTGGGGAAAACTTCTTTACCACACCACCTTGTTCGCCATTCAAGGTCAGCTCAAGGCAGTTGCCTGTGTCGCTGTAGGATAATTTTGGTGATGTTGTTTTGATTTTATTGGTTGGGTTTACAGAACGGATACATGCGGGTGAAGCGCTGACTACTGAAACCTGTCCAAATAGAGACGCCTTTGATGGTGGGGATCTCTTAAGGCCATCCGAAAAGAAGTGTCTTTTCGGCTCCCGGATATCCCATGTCCAAAGCAAAATCGTGCGAATTCCAAGCAGAGTTGTCAAACACAGCGCCAAATGCAACGACTTGCCATGACCATGTTCGGTTTGGTCGGCTGTGGGCCAGTCGGACCGAGCATGGGAACCAAGGCCCACAGAAATGTGAACACGACCCCCAAGAGAGACATGTGAATGTAGTCATATGGGTGTGTCGTTTCTAGGGTACCCCCAAAAAAATGCTCGCTTTTCCGCTTTGTCTTTTGGCTTTGCTTTGAAACCACCCAGACATTGGGGTTCCCTCAAACACAAGACAACCCCATATGATGGACAAAATCCACTTCGCTGGTCTGATGAAGGTGCCTGGATTTGGTGCAAAAGGATGGCATAGGACTTCAACCCCCGGTTGGAGCGCAAGTTGAGGACTTTGGCCTTCATTCTGCAGGGTTCCCTATATTTTCCCTTTTGCTGTGTTTGATCTGCGCTTTTGGGCCAGTCTATGAACAAGTTACATAGATTGTGTTTCCTTTTGGTGGGGTGAATTTTGAAAGGGGAAACATTGAGGGGGTGATTCTTTCTTGGTCGCTTGCCTCGAGCCGATGTGCGCGCAGGGGCGGCGTACCCGGAGAACATTGAGGCTGCAGGGTGATGTCCTTTTAGTTTCCTTTAAAACAACCACCAAATTAGCACCCTCAAAAAAGATGCACCCATATTGCGCCTCTAAGTTTAGGGCACCACCTATGGAGCCCAAAAAGCGGGGGCCCAAATCTGTCATTTGCTGCATGTCAATAGGGTTTAGTGCCACCTGTCAGATCCAGACTTGGCAATGGACTCCCGCATCCCTTATTTTGTCAACCCACCTCACCATCCAGTATGTGTCTAGTTAATATTTGATATGGAATGAATATGTTGGTGAATGGCCAAGCTTGGAGTGCGCGCATTGGATGCTCTACTCAGATGTTCAAAAGCAGCCTTTTAACCGCTTGGCTTTCCCTTTTTGGTCCACTTTTGGGCAAAATCCTTCAACGAACCAACCAATCCATCCATCCGTCCGTCCGTCCGTCCAGCCATCCATCCAGCCATCAATCCATCCAGCCATCCAGCCATCCATCAATCCATCAATCCATCAATCTAGGATTGATCAATCCATCAATCCATGAATCCATCAACCCAGGCCCAAAAGGTTTACCGTCGATTCTAGGTCCTTTGGGGCAGGGAGCCCATGGCATCGGACCATGGCCACATGCCAATCACACCCCCGACCCATGCCCCGCACAACTGTCATTGGGTTTCAATGATTCGGGACCCTTACTAGGTCCTCCAGTAGTGCCCTTGTACCGTTTCTTTTTTGGGGGAGGGTTCCTCTACTAAAATAGACTACAGAAAAAAGGGTACCGTTATTCTAACCTCTCTACTGGAGGACCTAGCTTGTATTTCCCTGTGTGGGTTATTTCAACATCACCTGTTGGGGACAGTGGACGTACAAGGGGGCCCTAAAGATCATATCAGTGCACTCTGGCTGCACCCACCAAGGGCAAAACATGAGGGAGACATTGATAGGCTGGGAACGACCTCTACCCTCGGCTTCCATCAGAGCCTTTGGCCACTAGCGCGCTGCTCAGCACAGGTGCTCGGGTTTTAGCTTCGAGGGTTTGTCGCTATATGACTACGTTATTTGAAGACAATGTATGGCAATAGTGTAGATGTCCTCTTGGAGGTCAATTCCATCTCAGCTTTTTAACGGGGCCGATGTTTTCGGAAGCCACATTGGCACAAGTTGAGATTCCATTTGGGAGCCCTGGGTTAATGCTGGAGGACACGCTCACACGGACCTCAGCCCAGAACGAGTTGAAAGCAATTTCAAGCAAAGAGAAGCGCTGGGGTTCCAAGGTTGCCTCGATTGAAAGAATGGCAAGGATCCCCGTTACAAGTTAACCCTCTTGGTAATGGTTCGCAGGGTAAGACCGAGCCTTCCAGCTGGTTTTCAAGCGACGCATGCGTATCCCATTCCATCAGTGGGCCCCGGGGATTGAAGGGATTGAAGGACGGGCTTGGCCAAAAGGACCATGTCCCTTCGGCAAATGAAGATGCCGCATGGTTTTCTGGGAGGATCAACCGGCAAATGAGCGGTTTGCAGAAAGTGCACTGTGTTCTGTTGACTTGCAAGGATGGTAAGAGTCAGTTGGGAGGGGTGACTCTGAGAACTGCTTGTGGCTCACTCGAACCGTTTTTTTTTTTTCCACAACATGAGGCGAGCTACGTTTGAACTTGCGTCATGGATGTGCACACCCCGCACAGTTAACTTGTGAAGCAGCTTTTGACTCAAGCACGCCGTTGAAGTCCCAAGAGGCTGGTCCCAGGAGAGGTTGGGTATGTCGTTTTTTGAGGGTACCCCTCTCTTTTGTCCGGGTTTAAAGAAAAGCAAAAAGGCAGACACACCCAGCTGAAATGATGTTGGGTGCTTTTGTTTCGGCGCGGGCAATTGAGGGTTCAATATAACCCCAGGGTGTCCACATCAGGGAGCTTCAGGTACCCCGCCACGGTACGCCCCGCATACAAGCCTCTCAAGCAGTTTTCCGGGTATGCTATGTCTGAGGATACCGGACATTTTTTGCATATTCGAATCCCGTATTTGGCCTGCCCCTGGCAAAAACGAAAGCCCTGCGCCCCTGCGCATGGGAAGAAAGGGCTCGCTAGACAGGGCCCAGCGAAAAAGGCACGCGAGCAAACCGGAGGTTTCCAGACACCAGTCAGTCAAAGATCAGCCACAGAGCCAATTTCAGATGAGCTCCCCAGGTGACTGATGTGTTTAACTTGGAATCAAAGGAAAACCAAGCATCTTGGGGTGTTTCATTTCGTATTCGGAGCATCAGAGGTTCGGGTTATCCGTACATTCGGGGTCGCTCTCGGCCGCCATGCGTGCGGTGGTGGCGCTCAGCTCGAGGTGGTCCGGGCGCCAAGGAGGTAGCACGTCCTTTTGTTTGGTATTTCAAAGGGAAACCAGAGTACACCAACCACAGGCGAGCATATATTCTCAGAAACTCCGTGTATTTCATGGCAAGTGGAAGACACCAGAGAGCCCAAGCAAATTGGACCCTCCGACTGGATGCGATGCGCTTGGCTTATGTACTTGCCTTTAGACCCTGACCCCACTAGCGGATGATAGAACCGAATCAACTCTAGACTCTAGAACCTTCAAACAACCAAAGTACGACGTGGAATACAGGAAGCTGCAACTGGGTGAAAGGAGCTGGTGATTCAGGTTTCTGCCGCTTGACAAGGGAATAGTGCCATCGACTTTCACCCTCGAAACTACCCAATAGCTATCAAATGCTTTGTCAAGTGACCTCCAATGGGTTTGGGCCTGGCATGTCCTCCCACCGAACACGGAACTGCGCAGCCTTTAGGTTGATTGTCCTCTAAAAGGGAGCCAAGAGGCACTTCCTGTATGTGAACATGGTTTGTTTGTGTGTTTTCTTTCCGGATGCGTTTTGTTCATGGGGGCTGGGGGGGAGGGAGGAGAGGGGGGAGGGAGCCCAAATAAGCACTTATTAAGCCCTTAATGAGGCCTTATTTAGGGCTTATTTGGGCTCCCTCCCCCGCCTCCTCCCCCAGCCCCCATGCTTGTTGCATCATGTTTTCTGTGATTTTCTTTCCGCCAGGCGTGTGCGTCCGGCGCCTCGCGCCAATTTGGCGCGGGCCTTCTCGAATGGTCCCTGTGTGCGGCTAGAGCAGCGCATTGCGGCGCGGCGGAAAGTCGGGCTCCAAGGGTGGGCTTTTCCATTTGTACCTGCAGTGCTCTGGTGTGAGACATTTTGGGTACACATGGAAAAGCCATCCTTGGAGGGTGCTGGTGGATGCACATTTTGCTCACATCACTTTTTGAGTGATGTTGACAGGAATTGCGATTTGGTGGGTGGAGGATAGCTTTGGCCAGTTGAAAGATCACCTTTTTTACCATCTGATTTGGAGGACCCCTTGCAAAGCAGCTGATTTTGGGATGTATCCTCTGAGAAACCCTGATATCCAATGATTCTCTTTTGGAACAGTCCACTTGCTGGAGTATGCTTTTTGTGATTTCCTCTTGGCCGGGTACTGTTTGAGGAGGCGCAAAAGGGGATGAACCCTAAAAGGGGGTCTTCCAAGAGGAGTTCCCTCTTGGGTCCGCTGAAGCTGACGAAAAACTCATTGCCAGACTTGGCCAACCTGTTTTTTTCCTCGCTTTTTGGGTTTCCGTCATTTTGTGCTTCGCCAACAAGTGACCCTTTTGCAGTCTGGCGCCAAGAATTGGGCCGTGACATGAGGGTGGATCTTGAAAGGGTGAACCATTGAGAAATGAAGTCCCCGCCTTGCGCCTGTTGGAGCGATTTCAGTCAAGGTCCCAGCAGTGAGCCCATTTTGAGGGATCTGCATTTTCGCCAAGTGTGTTTGCCTTTTTTTATCATGGGAATCCTTCTATTTTGGTGGAGGACACCGCGGCTACGGGTTGGGCACAATTGGTTGATATTCATGCGGTGGTTCGCGACCAAATGGGGAACCGAAAGGCTGTTTGAAGTGTCGCAAACCTGGCTAAAGTGGCTGGCCCCAGCTTGTCCCCGCCCATTCTCACCCCCTACTCGAAGTACCCTCTTTTTTTTGGGCATGAGGTTGACCCTCTACTAAAAAAGGAGGAATTTAAAATGGAAACCCAGGTTTTTCCAAAATTACCCTAAAAGAGGTGGGTATTTGGAGTAGGGGGTAGTGTTAACCCGTGGATTGGCATGCACCCGGGGAAGCGTTCAGTCCTGCATGTTGGTTTGGACAATTTTGTTGGCGGCTGGTCGGTCCGTTTGGGAGGCATGAACCCACAGGAGAACAGGGTGTTAAATCACATAGGTTGGTTGGGGCCGCTTGCTGTCCTTTTGTCGGTGATGCAGGGACCGGGGTACTTTCACAACCCTGTTTGAGAGGAGCTGCCGGGGTCATCCGCAACCCCTAAAGCAAGGTATGTGGTGGTGCCTTTCTTTCAGGACGCCCCCCCCCCCCCCCTT